CCCCAGTTTAGCAGGCAGGGCTGTTGCATGGATGGGACTCACCCCCGACTCTGTCTCCTGTCACTCCCCTCCCCCACTCTGCACTCCAGGCAGGCCAGCCGCCTCCCTGGAGGAGGACTCCCATGGCTACAACCTTTCTTCCCACTCCTCCCTCCCCGAGTGCCCTCCTGAAGCCTCTCCTGACCCTTTCGTATCCCCCTGCTCTGCACAACTTGCCCTGGCACTGCTGTGCACGAGAGCTTCTGCCGCCTCTGAGCACTGATGGGAAGTACTGATAGGGAGCATCTGCCATGATGGGAGGCTCCCAGCTCTGCTACTGTCTCCTCGCTGGCACACAGCTGGCCTTTCCAAGCAGAACACAAAGTCAAGGACGAGGACGGTGTCTGTTTTTCTGCTGCTTAAAACACACAACTTTATTGATGACATAAAAATAAAATCTCAAATGTATAAACATAAGTCCACACAAAGGACCAAAGATTACCTTATTTATAAAGAATCAGATCAGTTCTGCTCATGAAGCATACTAAAAATATCTCAATCCAGACAAGATAAAAATCAACACATGTATTTTCAGTACAAGTTTGAATTCATTTGGAGTTCATTAAAATGGTCTGGCTATAGACCATCATAGGTAACATCAGTTTTGAAGTTATAATGCAGTTTACAATGTGCATCATTTCTGGCTGTAAAACCAAAATATCATTCAAATTTGAGGACACAAAGCCAATCAGAGTTTACTTATCAATATTTCAACTCTTTCTTTCACCTCAGGGTCATTGCATTCTGCCGCTAAAAGTCGAAGCTTCTTGGCACATGCTTTGGGTCGTTGGAATAGGAAATAAAGGGAATTTTTACTGAATTTGTCTTGAGTAAACACTTTTGACCTTCTTTTAAAATGGTAATTTATATTTTCAAATAATGAAAGAGCATTAAGGATATTCTCTTTTGTCTCTTTCTTGCTAAAAATGTTAATCAGTGCTGTTGGTGCATTAGCAATGAGCAAGTCTTTTGTCATAGATGGATTTTTAGAGAAGTTCACAAGCATTCCCAAAACATGGTCTTTAGTTTCTCCACTTCCCACAGTTAACAAACGAAGAAATTCTGAAATATAATTTGTAACCATATGCTGATATTCACTAGTAATAGTCAGGTGCCTTATCAGTCTTAGTCCAGCCAGCTGCACGTTTGAGTTCAAGGGATAGGTGACTGTGTCTTCACATACTTGGTTTAAGTACGTTTTAACTTTCCTATGGTTTTCAGCAGCCACTGAGATATTATTCAATGCATTTAAAGCCTTCTGCCTAACACTGGGGTATGGATTATTGAGCAAGCCTTCAATAACTGAGATTCCACCAACATTACGAACAACTTCATGGGAATATGGATAATCGGCACTGTTATACAGAGCATTATTGGCTATTTCATGGACGGAAGGGTCTTCGGTCATCTCAATCATGCAAATGAGTTTTTCAAGGTCTCGTGGATCCATATTAGCTTCACGTTTACAGCGGCAGGACCAGGGCCGAATTTTCTCCCCAGGCTTGCTCTGCTTTCTGAACTCATCTTCAGCTAGGAGGCTGGCCTCGTATTGGTGTGAAAATTTCATTTCCGACCAGATCACAGCTCCATCCCATGACCCCATTCCTGCCCCAGGGACCATGGATGGATACGTGCCTCTTGACTCAGCTGACTTTTTGGCTTTAGCCTTAGATGTGGATTTGTCCTCACTTCCAGTTTCATCACCAGTACAGAACCAAGACCTTATATCAACACCGTCAGCAACTTCAAACTTGTCATCAACGATGGCCTTAGCCTCAATTGCAGACTCAAAATCAACATCTTTCTCACTCTTGGATCTGCACTCATTACTGTTCTCACTCTCAGCCCAAAACAAAGACCTTAAACTGATCTCCTCAATATCAGGGCTGGAAGATCCACTTAGCTCATCTTCATCTAAATGCCTAGCCCAAGTCCAGGACCCTGTGCCAGTCTCTTCCCCAGCCCCAAGGCTAGACCTTTTAGTGGTTACATCTCTATCCCAAGACCAAGACCATATCCTGGCCTCTGCTCCAGCCCCAGCTCCAGCCTCAGCCCTAGCCCCAACCCCAGCTGCAGCCCCAGACAGAGCCCCAGCCACAGCCCTAGCCCCAACCCCAGCCCCAGCCCCAGCCCCAGCTCCAGCCTCAGCCCTAGCCCCAACCCCAGCCCCAGCCCCAGCCACAGCCCCAGCCTGAGCCCCAGCCCCAGCCCCAGCTGCAACTCCGGACCCAGCCCGCAGACACAGCTCCAGCCACAACTCCAACCGCAAGCCCCAGCTGCAGCCTCAACCTCAGCTGCAGACTCAAGCTCAGCTCCCA